AGCCATTGAGCTGAATCCGAAAGATGCTACAACAATTCATCTTATAGGCATTTGGTAAGGCGTATTTTCAAACAAAAGTTATCATGAGGCAAAGAAAACTGCCTGAATATAAAATGTCTTTTATGAATTGCAGAAATGCTTGGAATAATTGACTAGTTGATGCAAACATGAAAACTTACTGAATGGGTATAGGACATTATGCCTTGAAAAAGTCTGGCTGTTAATTCTTACGCAGTTCAAAAAGATGAAAAATAATTGTTTGTTCAATTTATTTGTTTTACTGTATGGAACTATTAAAAATACATCTTGCAGACATGTTTCCATAGCAGAGATTGTGAGCACTACTCATTTTGTTCTAATGGTGTTAATTTGCATTGAATTTCAGTGACAGCTGCAACTTAATACAATCCATGTATAGCGAAAAGCTATCAAAAGTGAGATGTGTTCCTAAAATACTTCCGTTATTATCTGTCATGATACTGTATTTTAAAAGTTACATTGAAGTGAGGGTAGCTTATAAATGCATATGCATTAACAAAAATCTCTGAAATTGAATTTACTGCTCAGTGAAATTGTTACTAAGAATTACTGTTAGACAGCAGGCAAAAGGGACTGGAAGTGCAACTTTCCATATGAACCAGGGCATTCTGAGGAAGCGGTCTGGTTGAAAGTGGTATCTTTCATGTGTTAGTGAGCGACTCCAGACACCATTTGTGGTTATTTGTCTGAAAGAGACCAAAGCTGCTACATTGTTTTACAGGAAATCTCTATTGTAAGATTGAGATATTGAAAATAAAGCCAATGTAGCTTAAAAAAAAAACAACTAAAAACCACAGTCACCTTCTCTGTATTTTTTCTGAACTCTTGAGTATCAGAGTAAACTACAATCTACTGCTCCAGAGGGTTTTTCTTATTAGTTTACAAACTTCAGTTTTTCAGCATCCACCACTCATTCCCACATGACCTAACTGTTCCAATAGTCCAAATTTTTGAATAGAAGTGTATGCTACCAACTAAATGAGCCTCAAGGTCAGTTTTCAGATGGGAAGCCTGCTCTGGAAAGTACTTAAGACATTGTTCCTAAGGCAAATTAGAAAAGGTGATCAGAAATGTGAGATTATTACTGCTTTTGGCACTAAAATATCCTCATATTGTATATTTAAATATACTCATTATTGAATCCCAGACCTTCTTCATCTGAAGCTGGGATTTGGTATCAGCCAATTCTTGAATATGTTTCTCTTTTTCTAGTCTTTCCTGGATTGAACCTCTTTTATTGGCATTTCTGATCAGGCACATCTGATGGCAGAATTTCAACTCAGACTGTGTATTCCATGCCTCCCCCCGCCCTCTGAACACTTCCCTATTTGCATTTATTAATTTTTCACTTCCTCTAGAGTGCTCTATTTTATACAGTGAAGAATATTTTTATACTCGTTGTGGGAGGGTAATAAAGTGAATAGCATTATTTAATGTTTACACCTGGAATGTTCTAAGTATTTGAGATATTAACAAATATTTAATCCTTTCAGCATCTTCAAGATGCATGATTACCTTTGTTACTCAGTAGACAGGAAAACAGCATAGAATGGCCTAGCCTAGAACACAGTAGTTTGATTCTTGGGTTTATTTTCATTCTTATAGATCAGAGTCTTTCAGGAATGCACTGCAGATCTGCTTTATATTAATAATTGAGAAAAACAAGGTAATGTTGAGGTAAGGCAATGACATTACACAGTTGTGCCCTGTTTTTGCAAATATATTAGAACAATATCAAAGACCCATAAATCATTAAAAACACGCAAGCTCAAAAGCTGTCTGCTGGTTAATAACTGTCTCCAGGTTTGTCTAATGTTAATAGCAGTTCCCAGTAAAAGACACACCAAAACTTCTTTAGCAGAGCTGCACGGCATCTTCCTATTTTGTTGTACAGTTGTAAGAGCTTGCTTATAGAACTTGCAGTGTCGCTGGAGTTGTTGTGACTCTTGGAAACAACAATTATGACGTCCCAAGATACGAGAGTGTTACTCGAAAACTAGAGAAAAATGTGAAGGGTATATACAAATGTTTCCTTTTGCTCCAGGTGTTACTCCTTTGCTGAAATGCCATGGTACCAAAGAAAAATAGCTGCAACGCTATTTGCCACCCCACCAACCTCCACATTTCAAGAGGTACAATATGAAAATGTTTCACAGATTATTACTCCCACACACACAGCTGCTGATAGCATTTTCCTAATTTTCCTGACAAAGTTGACCTCTGCTTATGGAATAACCATGGACTTGTGAGTTTACAACTGTCATTAATAAAATGAGAATATAACAGGAGAGTGAGGGATATCTAAAAACATAAAAAGTCTTTAATTTTTTCAGCTGTGGCTTGCACAGAATAGTGAAAATTATTTCATGTAGTTTGTGCAGCAGAAAATAAGCTATATGTAACCTAGTTTGTATTTACTATTATGATCCCTTGCAGATAACAGCCTGTGCTAGTTCCAGTGCTGATTTATATGATGGTGTTATACCATGTACTTATTTCATAGGACTATTAGAATTTTCCCCTTTGTATTAAATGCAAAAAGTAACAGCTTGTTTTGTTACCTACCTCTAACAAATACCTTCTCATCCCCGGCTACATATGGTATGGGGTTTTTTCAGTCAAAAGTACTTTTGTTCATCTTTGCTTTGAAAATTCCTGCACTTTGAAAACTCCTGCTGTCTTACAGCAGGATGTCTTCTGTGTATCTTCTAGGGCGTCTAACGCAGTATGCATCATTTAAACACTTGTACATATATAGAAAGTTGAAATTTAAATTGGTAATAGGAAAGTTTGCTGCAGCTGTTGTAATCTTTGCTTAGATCAGCTGGCCCACTGTTTTGTTCTTCTAAGGTGAGGGGGGGACAGGAGTCACTAGAAAGTAATTGTAGAAGGTCGCTTGCTGTTACACAGACAGCAATTTAAGCTCTGATTGAAAAAGGAAACTTTTTAATGGAATGTGAAGCTTGCAAGTTTTGCTGAAAATCACTCTCAGAAGAATACAAAGTGTCAGCCAGGATTTCGAATACTGCAGAACCGTGCCAGTCCCAGCAATGAGCTCTGTACCACTTAAAGTGGCTGAAGAAGCAAACTTGTCCCAGAACCTGTAGTTGAGCCATTCTGGAAAGACTTGTGCAGTTTCAGTACAAAATCTGTTTTGTAGATACAGCCACACTTTAAGTTCTCTGACAGTATTTTCCCTCCAGCTAGTAACATCAGGAAGAGGTAGGAACAGACTGAAGTTTCTGATGTGCAGGATGGGAAACTAGTTGAAAAATGTATGCGGATTTCATAAAAGTTTATTCTCACGTAAGAGGTACTAACTGGTGCTCTCCATTTTAAAGAAGACAACCTTATCTTTTGCAGGCTCTTCGTTACTTCCACATGGCAGAGGAAGGTAATACTTCTAGCTTTTTTGGACAGAATAGTATCTTTTATGAGTGATGACTTGCAATAAACTGGTAGTTTTCAGTATTATCTTAATAGCGTATGATCTGCTGATAAATGTATCGGCCTGTTGTGCTAGTCAATATGTTAGACTGGTACATGGGGATGTTTCATCAGAGATACTCGAAGTATGTTACACGCTTACTATCATCATTTAGTGTAACAAGAGGGTTTTTTTCAGAATAAGTATTAAAATGAAATTTGTGCTTTCATTAGTAACAAAGTACTCTTCCCCAAGGTGTTCAATTGGAATGCAGGGGGAAGAAGGAAGCCATAAATGTAATTTTATGTCAGTTTTTCTAAATTTTCTTAAAGTTCAAAAGCCCTTCAAAAGCATGCTTTTTTTTATTTCAGAAGCTATTTGGATCAGAGTGCCGATCTAACTGGCAGTAAAACTGTCCGTATGTAAAAGAAAATATGGATGTATTATTTCTCCAAGAGTGACACTGTAAGCAAAACTGACTAGCTGAAAGATAAAGGAAGACAAGGGAAGACAATGTTCTATGAAAGATTTGTATATAGTTATATCAGTGAAGTTATATCATGGCTTTGCTAGTGTGCTGCTCAGTCTCCTTTAAAACTTTTCTCCTGTCTCTATACAGCTGACCCAAATTTCTACAGCAAAAATTTGCTCTTTTTGGGGAAGACATACTTGAAGTTAAACAATAAAAAGATGGCTCTTCTGTGGTTAAGCAAAGCGAAGGACTATCCTGCACATACCGAAGAGGACAAACAGGTAGGAAGTTAACTGTAATAGTACAATTATATGCTGTAACCAACATGTGTGACTTCATGGCAGTGGGATGTTTTATAAAGGTAACTCAGAGTAAATTGTAATTCAGCACCTATATTCCAGGATCACATCCACACACCAAAAAATTCTAGATGTTGGTAACTGCCTCTGAACACAATAGTTGTAAATAATCTGTTTATAATAAAGAACTGTTATTCTTTCTTCTTCATGATGTTTTTGTAGTGCTAACAACCACCCACCCTTAACCATGTTTTTGAAGTTAAGGCAGCACCTGAGCTAACCTACGTCTATGTGAGCACAGAGTCGCTTTTCATGTGTCCAAAACTGGAAAGGTAGAAATCATATTTTGGAAGAGCTAAAAACCACATGAACAGGAGAAAGAAAAAAGCCTATGTGTATCAAAAATTTCCTAGATCCGTAAAACTTAACATTGCAGTCCTTACCAGGCCCCTAGCGAGAGATTCAGACTATCCGAATTGAGACAAATGGGTGTAACGTATCTTTGACAGCGAATCTGCAGTGCTAGGTGACGTGAGGCGCTTTACACTGTTGAACTGCTCAGAAGGATCCTGGTTGGTTTGGGTAGGCATTTGCTTCCTACCTAAACATATACAGAGTTACTTCCGGGACGGGTAATCCATTAAACTTGCTCAGACCAAATAGTGCATTCAGTATAAAGCACGGCAGTTGCAGTTACCTTTCATAAACAATCCTATTAGCATCAGGACTAACAAAGCCTGACTTCCAATTGATTTTTCTGATGGTCGACTGACCTCCAATTCATTTAGCTTTAAGCTGCAGTGTGAGATGCTTTAACTGTTACCAAAGACATCCAAATATGTTGTGATATTCCGACTGTCCCAATTGTAAGAAATAATTTGGTAGAGTTTTGCAGTTCACATCTCAGAAAGATTTCCCTCTGTAGATTCTCTAGTAAGGTTTGAACTGTTTCTCCCAATAGTGAGCTCCTTCAGTAACATCTTTCAGTAGAAATATGAGTAAGGGTCTCATTCTTCCACTGCTTTGCAAAATGTATAGGAATTTAATAGCAGAGTAGTCATCTCATCAAGCGACAGGACAAGAGAAAATGGCCTCAAGATGTGTCAGGGGAGGTTTAGATTGGATATTTGTCCCGTCCCATTCAGAGGGTGAGGTTAACTTTTTAATTTTCTGCACGGTAATCAGGAGTAATGACAATTACTTTAGAGGTTCAAACCAATCATAAATTTACTTAAAACTCAGTGGAACTATAAAAGATAAGAGGCTTGGCAAAAGTCGTAACAATGCTCAAAACTTAACAGAACTATGAAAGGTAAGGGTTTAGCAAAACTTGTGACAATATTACCCTAATGTGCCGAAAATTAAGTTAGAGAGGGATAGAGAGGAAAAGAAAGAAAAGAGAGAGAGAGAAAAGATATCACCACCCTTGGATCCAGCGATGTTCTCTGCTCGTAGTTGTAGTCATCATCAGCCCATCCCTGTCCATGTCAAGACGGGTGTTTGCAACATTCAGTTGTTATGAGGGCCTTACAATATTAGGGAAAAAATTGTCACTGAAAGGGTTGTCAAGCACTGGAACAGGCAGCCCAGGGAAGTGGTGGAGTCACCATCCCTGGATGTATTTAAAACACACGTATATGTGGTGCTTAGGGACGTGGTTTAGCGGTGGACTTGGCAGTGCTAGGTTAATGGTTGAACTCGATCTTAAAGGTCCTTTCCAACCTAAATGATTCTACGATTCTATAAATAGGTCAGTTGTTCTGACAGTTACTAGTAGCTGGATGCACACATGAAACCAGTTATCACAAAAGCTTGCCTCTCTTTAGAAACCACACAAAAGGAGTCAGTAGTGATTTTTGTGCAGTAGCCAAGTTGTTAAACCGCTTATCTGCTGCAGCCTCCTGGTACAAACATGTTTCCTTCATCTCCTCGAAGGGTGCAGAGCTGCTGAACTGAGAGGTGCTGTTCTCTCCACTCTTAGGGTGAATGTGTAAAATTCATTGGGAACTAGACTTAGTAGTCCAGTAAGAAAGACACTAGCCTGTGCAAAGAAATTGAAATTCTTGTCTCTGCATTTGGCAGAGGTAAGTTTTCTGAACATTTTTTATCTCCTGAGTATCTGCAGTCTCTGGCTTACATTGTCTCCACCACTTGCTCTGTCAGGACTGGAAGTTTGTTGGGGTTTTGTTTTTTAATAAAAGTGTTAGAGTTCATATTCAAATTGTATTAGATTTTCCCAAAATCCCTAGGCAAAAGGAGTCTCAGAAACAGTCTTCTCACGCTTCCTTAGTTACTGTCCAGAGTTTTGAAAACCCTGGGTTGGTTGGTTATTGTCAAGTACAGGACAACTTACTACGTGCTACTATTGGATTACAGCAAATCAGGAGCTAATCATCTGTATTCAACACAAATAAACTTACATGTAGTAAATGAAGGCACTGGCATAAGTGGTTTTATTCCCGCTCGTGTTGCAAGTGTTGAGCATCTTAACTACAGAAGAAAAATGACTGGTCTTGGGAGGGTTCTGAATTTACAGAACTGTGGTGGAACATTTCGACTGCTTGCAGGGTGAGTTCTGCTGGAAGAGCCTCGAACTACCCGCCACTGTTTTGTTACATTTATTTCTTTCAGGTACAGAAAGAAGCTTTGGAGTTGCTTAATTCTATATAATAAGAAACAAGATAATGGGAATTCAGTGCCTCAGGTTTGAGCAGCATAGGAAGATGACCCCAAATACTGTGATTTATTGAAGCTGTTAATAAAAGTATAGCCTAAACCTGCTCTTGCCATCTCATTTCAATGAAACTGTCAACTAGAAGATCTGTTTGATTCGGTGATCCTATCTGTTGGTTTACATGGGAATAAAGGGCTTCATGGACAAGCAGGGTATGTATCAGATGGGAAAGGCTGGGGCGTGGCTGCATGGGGTTTTAATGAAGGTTTTTACACTGTTCAGCTACAAGTTATCTATGAGGCATAGTAAGAAACAAACACGACTAGCACGACTTTGAAGAAAGCAGGTTCAGGGCCATGACATAATTCTAAACCTGCAATTTTTTCTAGAGTATTCTCCTGTGGAGTTCAACAGCCTTCAGGAGTAATGTATGCTCACGTTATCAGATGCTCCTACAGATTTGTCATTAAGGCCGCACAAGCAATCTTAATTCCATTACGCTTAAATGCAAGTATTTGACTTTGCAAAATGTTCTGTGGGTTGTTTTTGTTTTAAAAAAAGTGAAGTAGGGAACTCCTAAGAAAATCCTTGTATGGGTGATACCGGCATATGCAGTGAGCAGCTTTCTGTGAAATATGAATACTTATGTGCACAGTGCAAGTCTGAGCTCTGAGGATTTGGTGGCCGCACTGTGCTTGCTGGACATACGCACGCCTTCCCCTTGATTGTGGTGACAGGAGGAATGCGTCCTCACAGTACGTTAGACGGGAACTACAATTTAGAAGCACATAGGATTCTGTTTGTAGAGATAAAGTGAAACTTTGTTTTTGTTCTTGCTGCTATTTTAGCAGGAACTTTCACCAGAAAAATAAATTAACCTTAGATACTCAGCATAGAAAATATTTACATACTTCTCAAACAATATATTCTGATTACCCAACAGTAAAAGAGGACCAAATAATGGGGAAAAAAAAAAAAAAAGGTAGGCAATCAAATACGCGTGGTATTGCCAGTAGAAAGTCTAACACTGGAACAAATTGACTATACTCAGTGTTTGCTTTAATAGAAAAGGATATTGCAATTTATAGGAGGAAGACAAGGGGTATAAATTGTGTAGGCTAACCAAGCCTGTGCCAAATCAGTAGTAAGAATCCACAGCTCAGAGACACTCCAGAACTTTAATTCTAGCCTCAGATCATTAAACTGGTTAAAAGATGGGTTTTCTCCCTTACGGCAAAGTAATTCTTATTTTTCTGTTAGTAAAGCATCAAAATGAAGTCTTTGCTATGCCAAAGTTCCGGGGTGGATGACATGTAGTATTTCAGAGAGATTCTTTGAATTTTTGGCATTCACACACTACAAAACCACCTGCCATACGCAGAACTGCTTCTAGGGGCTTTGTGGCAGAGGCACCTTGCTTCTCTGCTGCAGAAAACAGTATCTGCAGAAAGGGGAAGGCTACTGGTCCACCAGGTAAACATTGCTGAGTGTTTAGAAAAGAGCAGCTGAGCTGCTTTGCAGGAAGAAAGGAACAAACAGAACCCATGAGCTACACAGTAGCTCCTTCCAGTAGTATTGTAGTACTACCTCACTGCTTCCCTCATCTGATCTCCAGCCTTTACTGTATTTCCTCTTTTCTGTGTCTTCCCTCCCCCCCCAAATACAGCTGAATCATGGGGAACGCACACGGGAAAAAGTTACAATGCAGTATTACCAGAATTCCCAGAAAGGCCAAGTTAACTGTACACACTCACAAACAAGTATACAAATCGTTGAGTTGGGTGGTTTTTTTTCCTCTTTTTTTCTCATGCTTGTAGTCAGTCCTTCAAAACTAATTAATAGATCACGTACATGCACAGAAGGCCGCTAGGTTTGGTTTTTTTCCTTGCTTACTAACCCTTACCCCAGGAAAAACTATTGCATAACTATTGCTATGAGACAGCTAAAATTATCAAAACAATAAAGCAACTACATTCTTGTGATGTGCTGTCTTTTTTATTATTATTTTGTTCTCTTACTCACAGATTCACAAAATTCAGCAGTTGGTAGTGGGTCACCAAGTCATTCATTAGTGCAAATTCATGAAGTTCAACTTTATGACACTTAGCACTCTTAATTGTCTTTCAGGCAAGCCATACACCCTTCCGTGGCCCAGCCTTTGACGTTTGTTGTTCGGTTGTGTTTTTTAAAGCTTCCTCCATTCAAACCAGCATAAGTCATAATTTAAGTGGATTTACACTTGAAATTAATCTAATGCTGTATTTCTGAAAATGGTTTCGCAGACGATATTTGGTGTAGTATGAAAAACCTCAAAGTGGTGGAAATTTTTGAAATTCTTACAGAAAGTTCAGGTAAGATAGCGGTCTGTTGGGCCCGCTGCACTACCGGTGTTACCAAAGCTACGTACAGGTTAACAGCTCCACAGTAAGCTGTGCAGATTGAATACAAAGCCTTAGGAGAATCCAATATGTAGAAAAATAAAATTTTGGCAGAATTCAGTTGCTGTATTGGAAAGATACATGAAGAGATATAGCTATTTTTTCTGCATGTACACTTTTAACAGTGCAATATGATATGTTACAGAAGTGTTTAATCATATTCTAAAATCATTTTCATGTGTGTACAAAATTCTGTATAAGTTAAATGTAATGGAATTTACAGTTAATATTTAAAGCATAATACAAGTGGTAATTTTAAATGTTTTTACTCTATAATAAGGAAGCACAGTTTGCTAGAAGTAGCATTTAATATCATTCATGTGAATAAGGTGTTAAATTTTTATTTTTTTTTAAAACACATCTTTGCAGTTCAGCAAATGCCCTCAATGCCAATAAAACTAATTTAAAAATGGCTTTATATTGTTGTGCACTTAGGACAAACTTGACCTACATAAAAGAGTGACAGGTTTTAGACATACTTAATTCAGGTACATCTGAATTTCTGTAAGAACTTAAGAGCAATGAGAGTATTTAATACTTAAGAGTATTTTTATCTGTGCAAAGCTTATGTAACTTTCATTTTATTTGGGTTTACTAGATCCAAAAACTGAAACTGAACATGAACATAGAAAGCAGCAAAGTTCACATTACCTTTTGTATACCCTTATAGCTCAGTTTACATTAATATACTCTACAAAAAGGGCATCACAGATTGAAAAAGGAAACAAAAAAACAAAAAAAAGAAGAAACCTGTAAGACACCAGACCAAGGAGAGAATGTATAATATTTTCTCTTTTATTATTATTTTTTCTTTGAAGATTACCTAACATCCTTGTGGTAATAACCCAAGGTAAGATGTAAACAAATTTCAATGCTGCTCAAATGAATTAAAATATTCTGTTCAGCTCCTACAATAAGTCAGAACAGTGGCACCAATTCCTTTCAACATTAAATCACATTCATCTTATTGTACATGACTCTTGTGCAAGTAGTAAAGGCTTTATTCATGACCTTGGCTACATCAGTAGAGAGGGATATATCAGCTATGTACGTATTTTAAAAAATTAAACTGACAGAACAACATATTCTGTCATCTCAAATACCAGCAGCATCTTTCTACATATTTAGGATACGTTTGGCCTAAGCCTTTAACACCTTTTAGAACAGCCATGCAATAAAACAAACTTGGAGATGTTTCTTAAGAGAGAACACAGAGCAGTTTAAACATTTTTCTGAATAAAGCCAAGATAAAGCAAATCCAGGCCCTTTTAAATGGCTGCAACTTTTCATACACTTAAAGCTCTATAAAACTAGAGCCTATTAGTATATATATTTATATTTTTTATATATATCTTAAATAAGTCTCTTGTCTGCTTTCAAAATTTATGAGGGGTTTTTCTGGTCTTTTGGAAGGGCAATAAATAAAAGTAGAAAAGGCTGAACTGTTTTGCATATCTTTGTGGAAGAACGGAGAACAATTATACTTTTAGAGTTCCAGAAAGATCACTGTACAGAACAAAAAGCTTATATACAATTAAGTGTGCAATTTTAGGTGGCTGGGTCTTTTATTATGCAAGATCTCCTTTTTGACTGGAAGCCACTTCTACTCTTGACCAAATCCCTCTGTTTCTTCAATGGCAAAGAGCAGCTTCTCTTTTAGTTGTTCGTAGCTTTTATATGGTGGCAAATCCAAACGATTAAAACTGAGCAGAAAAAAACAAAATTTGGTTAAGTTTATCTAAATCCCATGTAGAACACTACAGAACTCTATAGTAGAAGTTAAAAATTGTCTGGTCTAACACTTAGAAATGAAGAAATAGCAATCGGTGCTATCTCACTGCCTGGACGTTTCTATCAGCTGCAAAAACAGGCAAAGTTTGAGAGGAATACTTGAAGAAACAAAAGACCGTTATCGCAGCAGACAAAAACCAGAACCTCTGAAGACTAAAGACCAAGCCCAAGATACAGAGAAGTATAATACTCAGAAGAAGAAATGTTTGCCATCATCCTGGTTTGAAGCAGCTCCAAATTCCAGCAGAGCATGAAAAAGCTGAATTTTTCTTCTTCCTAAGCATGCCTGGATATAGGGGTGGGGTTTTTTTCGCTCTGAACTTTGCCCTAAAAGGCTCCTGCCAAAATTCTGTGTCTTCCCCAAAATCATCTTAGACAAAGAGGGATGTTTAACTCTTGCAATCATCACTTGAAAAAACAGCAGCAGTAGAGAAAATGGAGGATTCCCTGAAGTAGTTTAAAAGTATGCTGAATAGTCCCAGTGTTGCCAAAGGAAGGTGTGTCCATTTTGCACACAGTATGCATGGGGAAACTGATCTGTGTATACCTGTTGTTGCTCCAGTTTGGCATAGGAATGCCAAGCCTACAACAGTCTGAAGCCTGGCAGAAAAAATACCTGCAGTCTTGGCTAAGCATCCTTGTTTTGAATGTTTGCTGTGATTTCTTTCACCTTGCTTTCTCTCATGACTATACATTTATCTTCTATAATGTGCATGTATAAGAATTGTATCTAATAACTGTATATACCTAATACCAACATGACTTTTGTTCAGTTATTTAATATTCCCTAAAAGAAAGAATTAGGGAAACACCTCTCAGTTCTATGCAAGAAGGATGATATCATACTTCTGATACTGACAAACTGTCTACAGTGCAGTAGCAAAATTTAAGAACAGGGCAACCAGAAAAGTTTTCAATACTGGCATATCAGAGCAATCAAAGAAGCTGAAGATGGAGATCGAGAACTGATTCAAATTAGATTTCATTTGCTTTGGTAAATGCAAGATTGAAAGAGAGAACCACTAAAGGTACAGAAGGTTTACATGTAACAACTCACCAAGTGTGACTTCTTGGTAACCAGGTTTCCTTACCAACTTTTTCAATGCAGAATTTCTGAGGACCATTACTTCCTAGGAAAGAAGATTTTTAACAGTGTGAAGCTGTTACTTTTAAGTAGCACACATGATACATATACGTGATATAAGACACAACTCAGATGATACAGCAGACAGAGCTCATTACGTGCTACTCGATGTTACATGAATATGAACATTCTTCTCATAGAAATGAGCTAATTTCCTAATCATTTATAAATGTATTCATGGGATTTCTGATATAAAAAGCCCTTCTAGATACAAGCTGATGTACATGAAGTTCCTGCTATCTGTACACTTGCAGCACGGTTCATTTGCAGATGGAACAGTTCAGTATAAAAGTTTTGGTCACCTTTTACTTACCCATAAGTTCAGCAAATCCACCTAGTGGTAATCTGCAAGTGCCAGTGACAAACTGCAGAAGTCGCATGCGAACCTCGTTGTCTGTTTCTTTTACGAACTAGGCACAGAAATTGAAATTACTTAATAAAAAACTTTAGCATAGCTGGAGAAAAACAAAAACCCCACAAGACTGTTGAAAAAGTATAATTCCATTTAAAAAGACACCACTGTGAGAACAGTTTACCTTTCTTGATTTCAGCAAAACTGGGTGGAGGGAGAAGACAGTGATTTCAGATAATATGCACTGTCAACTGTTATAAGGCTGGGAACAGCAAATAAGAAGAAACTTTATCTATTTTATTCTGCACTAAAATACAAATCATGCCAATGCTTTATATGAAGACTATTGCCATTTTGATTAAACACAGCAATAGCCTAGCCACAGGCTCTGGGTATTTCAAGACTGAAGTATTCTCTGCACGTGGCAGTCTCAGTGAGAGGAAACACCATCTGTAATAGCTGCATCACTTCATAAGGAAATTCACTGGGAAAGGGAAGAGGAAGAAAAGACGGGGGGACAGAGACCATCTCAATAAGAGAGGAGGCATTAATACAACTAGAATTTTGACTCAGAAAAACCTGGATAACAAAATGAGTATTTTTGTTCTATAAATGTTGAAACCATATCCAAGTTACCTGAACTTCCCGTTAAGATTCTTTCAGTACCAAGCCTCTCAAAAACAGATTATATCGCCAGATCTTACATTATTCTGACAATATAAATAAGCTAGGAAATAATTGATTTGCATCATTTTCTTATAGAACTTTGTTAAAAGCATCTCTACAATAGTGATTTATCAAAAGGCAGGAACTGCCTAGCTGTGACTTCTCTCTAGGGAAATTCATAGAAACTGAGAGCCTGTCTAGCATTTTTGTAGGTTTTTTTCTGAAAATAATTCTTAGCCAACTTCATTAAAATGTGAGTTATAATCAATGCTAGACTGGCACAGTTAATATGACAATAATCATAAATAATATGTGGCATTTCGGATGTACAGGTGTGCTACATATTAGAACATATAGAAGGTAGATCACTGCTAAGAATAAAAAAACCCTCTATCTATCATTGTATAATCAATAAGAAGGACAACATATAGAACAAGTATTCATGACCCAGCCATCCAAATGTAATGTGGGTATCTATCTGCCATTTTCCACCCTAAAGTATGCTTCCTAAGAACCAGTAATCCTCCTTTCCTTCTCTGAGAAGAAAAAAGAAAAGAAGCAGTGAGAACCTGCACTCAGATGGCATTCCTCCACTCCACGTGCTATTTGTATTACAAAACAAAACAAAACCTAAAGAAATTGGAAATTTTACTAATCACCATACCTGCCAGAACCATATGATCTGCTTGCTGTTCCTTGTATAATGACGATAAACAGTGTTCCTCTGCCAGTCTGCTAAATCAACTTCTTGCATACCACAGAGCATAACCTAGAAAACAGAATGGTTGCTTGACAATATACATGTGTACACACAAAAATTAAAAGTTAATTTTGTATCTTGTATGAGGCACGCTAACAAAAATGGAAGTTCCTGCTCCCAAAAAAGGGCTGTTAATTCTTTCATTTTACTCCACAGTTAGATTTTCCTTTATCCTAAGTTTACAGAACTCCTCCAAAGTTGTTTATGTATTTAAGAGGTCTGAAAGCCCGCGTATCAGAAACTTAGTTTCTTTCAACTAATAATTCAATAATAAAAGATATCACCTTTCCCATAAAAGGAAATTTTATATTAAAGAGGATATTACCTTTCCTATTAAATCCTCGCCTCATATTCCAAGATGATGATGATGATTACATTGCAGATACTGCTACTACTAATAAAGATGAAATACACTGCAAAGTATAAATCTGCAAAGTATTCATTAAAAGAGGCAATGAAAGCTTAAAGTGCTAAAGGTAAAGCCTCCCAGAAAACTGAACACTAAATAAGATAGATCAAAGTTCCTTCTCAGGAAAAACTCCCATTTAACTTAAGAAGCTTTCAGAACACTGCTCATTATACCTTGGCAGGTCTCACAGAAATAAATAAGCATTGCACTACAGAGCCTTTTGTCCCAGCTACAAATCACAACCCCAACAATGAGTATAGGTCAGGCTGGTTGTTAAGTAAACATGGTGCATGCAAGTGATTCCTCTTATCAGCCCTTGGGTTAGATACTGAGGATCTGCAAAATTCAGTTTCAAACCTCGTTGGTTCCTCCAACTTTCTGTCCTTAAGTGTAATAACCCTAGAACCTGTCCTGACTATGTCTGTGAAACTAAGCAATCACTATACATCAGAATCAACTTCTGTGCCACCTGTTACAAGGTAATTCTACCCATCTACCACAGAGGAAAAAGTTTTCTATGACTAACAGATCCATCTGTGACCTCACATTCTGATCCTTTCATAGAAACTTGCACACATTTTAATATGAGAATGGAATCTAAAATTCCCAACTGCTGAACACCACAAAACACTGATTCAATAGATACTGACTTTTCCCCATGATTTACCCCCACTGCCCCTATTAAATTCTCCATGTTCCAGAAGTTATCAAATGCAGCATGCCACAGATGAGAGATTCAAGCTGACCTATCCATTTAATCATTCCGTATGTATTACCTTTGCAAAAGGTAAAACTGTTGAACAGAAAACCTCACCTCCAGCTCCTTTTCATCAAAATAGTGTAGCCACTGTAGAGGAACAACTTCATTAAAACCATCAAGAAAAGCTTTGGTTTGTTCTCTGACTCCCCGAGAAAATCGCCACTCAGCCATTAGCCTGGGATGGAAAAAACGAAACATAAATTAAACATCAATTAGCAGTCAACATGAAGAAGTCTAAACACGTATGACTGCATGTGTTCCCATGAGGTAATGCTCCCCTCCATTTTACTTTCTTATACTGTATGATTCCATAGACTACAAGGGACCTACCATACTAACATTATCACAAATCTCCAAACTTTGACAACAGTAAAAGTAGCACGATGAACTTAGATTATCATTCTAGTTAAAAAATAAATTTTTTATTATTATTAACCTTGCACTAATCAAAATTCAGCAGCCTTTTCATGAAAATAATGCTACTTGGGCATTATGATTTTTTTATGACAAAATTTGCTTTAGCTTAAAAAGTGCATAATCCTAGTGTTTCAATGGTAGAAAAGAAACTGAGGGAACAGAATGAAGCTGCGACGGGGGAGGTTGAGGTTGGGCATCAGGAAAAGGTTCTTCACCGAGAGGGTGGTTGGGCACTGGAACAGGCTCCCCAGGGAAGCGGTCACAGCACCGAGCTTGACTGAGTTCAAGAAGCGTCTAGATAACGCTCTCAGTCATATGCTCTGATTCAGCTGGTCCTGTGTGGAGCCAGGAGTTGGTCTCGATGATCCTTATGGGTCCCTTCCAACTCAGGATATTCTATGATTCTATGAAACATTTCCACCAATTTTAAAATATTCTGTTCTTGAGCAAAAAACACCATGTAGGCAGAGAATAATAACAAATACTGTGGCTTATAATACCTATAACTATGGTTGCCCAATACTTCCAGCATAAGACTATTTCCAGCTTCAACAAAGAGTAGTCATTTTCTGTTTTGAGCTTCTGATTTATGCTAAGATTTGGAAGAAGAGGTAACATTTTTTTATGTTTCAGCTAAAATGGTCAAGCCACTTCTGAATAAAAAAAAAAAAGGACAATAAATATATATACATTCTATAGAAACTATTTGACTAAGAAACTAAAGACTGCTAATTTAAGTGGAAACTTTATGTGCAGCACTGGACATACACTGTATCACAGAAAAGGATCTGTGTACATCTGCTTTTGAGATCACTCTGAATAGATGGATCAGAAATACAGGTTCAGAAAGACAAAGAGTGGTAAGATTAGGAGAGAAGCAGGAAAGAGCAGCATAACAGAACAAAGCAAAAAAATAGTTTAAGTCACACCACATTATATAACATTCTGAACTTCAGTTTCCACAGTGACAGCAAAGTTCTGAACAATTTTGAAATCCTCTGTCAAATACATTTCTTCCTTCCACCTGGATTTGTTCCCTCATTTTGTTTGTTCATTTTAAGTTTCATCTGTTCTCTCACTGTACATGTAATAACAAGATAGGTCATGTTCTCTCTATCAGGTCATCTTTTTTTTTTCTTTTTTTTTTTTTTGGGGGGGGGGTGTTTTGTGGGGGGGGGGGGGGGGGGGGGGTGGTGTACAGTGGAGGGAGAGGGAAGAGGGGAATAGGAGAGATCAAAATGTACCAAGAGATCATGTGTACCAAGATAGCAAAATGTACCAAGATACCATTTCAGTAATAGTCCCAAGAATTACATAGTAATAGGAAAAAAAGAAAAAGGAAAAAAAACCCAAACACAACAAACAAATCATATACTGTGTCAAAAAAGACTACAGCAACAGAAGAAATATGGACCACTTTTTTCAACATCTACACCTTCCTACCCAATATATTCTTCTTTGTTCTCCTCAGTTACCAAGATATTTGAACCTCCTGATTTCAGCTCATGTGAGGTTACTTTGCCTAAGAGCTCCATATCCACACAAAAATACATTTCCAAGTTACACTCTTCGATGTTATTATCCCTGAATAAAAAAAAAAAAAGCGCAATGAATTCTATATAAATGACAAAATCCATAAAACATCACATACAAAAAAATAATCTACAAACCTTATCCAAATTAGGGAGTTGTAAAATTCAGTATCAATAGATTCTAGGTCCTTAATAGTAAGTTTTTTGCTTAGCATTCGTTTGTAGAAAGGCAGAGAAAAACCAGTGTCAATAAATTTCCCATGAAACAATGCCTGTTGAACAGAAAAAAGTCTGTTTAGCTTTTACTGAACTACTGAATTATTGAAGTATTTCTGGACCTGAATTCTTTTTTTCCCTTCTCCTTGAAATAATAAAAAGCACCAAGTAGCAGTAGCAGCTTGGTATTTAAAAAGAACAAAACAATATATTAAATGGGAAGAAAAAAAGTTAATTGACAAAATTTATCCAAGCATATGTTATCACTACAATTTAGAACTTTTTTGATTAAAAATACACTTTTCATAAAAGGATGAAGTCTATTAAAAGAGAAAATTACTAAGTTTACGCTTTATTATGTGAATAAGAATATATTCCAAGAGTTATTTGATCCTACTTGATCATATTTCATCCTACTTGAGTGTTACTGCCATTTTTTACTACATATATACATCCTGCAAAACCATCCTTTACACAATGCTACTGCAGCATGTAATAAACAGTTTAAAAAATGCAATCACAGACTGCTTCAGAAAGACCTTTAGCAATCACATTTTTTATAGGTAACAGAACTGAGAACTGAGATTCTCCCTTCTACTGCAAAAAGAAATTGGGAAAAAAAAACAAATCATGGTCACACTTGTCTCACCACGCGTGCACAAAGGGTGTAGGCTAAACTCTAGCACTGAAGCCTAGCATTACACGCACACAGAGCCCTAACCTCTATACTGATTCAGTGCATCTGAGAGCTAACTGAGCACAACTATAACTATGAAAATACTTTTTGCCCTCATTAGGTACACTTTCTTAAATAAAATACCTCTTTACAAATCATCCTAAATGTAGGCCAAGTATGGCATTCATTGTTTGTCTTCCTCACAGCTGAAATTCTAGGAGCAGAAGAGCCAACGTAACCATTCATTTCCTTTAGGAAAAGGCAAGGCTCCATCTTTTTTTTCCAGCTTCTAATTTCCCCAAGGCTTACTCTCTCATGCATTTTCTTCTGCTTTAGAAGAGCTTAAAAAGGTTCTCTCAGGGACATTTATTTATTTATTTATTTACTAGTCTATACTTCTCATGGGAGAGTGAGTTGATAGAAATGAAAAAATTAAATGTCAAGTGCAGCATCCAGCCATACGATTTCCTGCTTTTTGCAAAAGTAAGCTCTTAAATCATCTCATTTAATGTCTATGATAATCTTACAGCAAATTATACAAGTTGCCTCAGCAAACCTCATTTAACAGCTTTTTGTTACCAAGTAAGATGTGTATTCTTTATGTTTAACCCATTTCAGTTGAAAATGTCTGTGGGTATTTAAGTATAAATCCAAAAGAAGTCATAATGATCTGAAAATCACAACTATTCTAGAACTTAGACAGAAACTACAACTGCACTTAAAAAGCCCATCGAGACTCCTTAAATTGATTCCCACTTACATTATTAGCTGAGGTATTTTAAGCCACTAGAGGGTATCCCAGGAAGTACTGCAGGAAGTGCCATCCATTCTAAACCATGAATATACTCAAAGCTCACAACAGACCACATTAGGGACCATTACAAAGGTGTCTCTGTCTCCCACCCCCTTAGAGAATTTAAAATAAAAATACAAAAATACTTCAGGAAAGAAAAGTTTGTATTTTGATTAAATACTTTAATTAAGTTCTCTTCTATGATTTATACTTTTAGGAAGTAATTTTCCTAAAGTTAACATTTCAATTATGGATTTATCTTATGCGCAAGATCAAAACTCACTGACTAAAAGAAACAGCATTTGGCTCTAGCACCTAATTAGCTTTATCATATCTTCCTGCTAAATGGCATTAGAGCTTACCGAGGGTTCTAAAAGAAAGAAAAAAATTGGTAGCCTATTGAAAGTGTTAACCCAATGAAATAAATTTTCATGACAGCACAGAAATGGGGAACTTGGCCATAAAATCCTTGAAATCAGAGATGTTATCATCAAAACTGAACAAATTTGCTTCTCAAGAAGCATCTATATGAAAAGCAAAATCAAGAAAAGCCCCAAACCTAACTTATTTTAAGTCTCAACATTTTTTTTCCATCTATGCTACACTTTGCTTATATTTATTCTAATTTCATACAAAAAACCTGAACAACAGAAGATTACAGTCTCTTCAATCTGAAAATGCACTGTTACCTACTCTTTTTGGTTTCACTATTTGCCAAGTTCAGCGACGTTGCTGAGGGCTACCCTGCAGACATCATGATGATTATATGGAAAAATGACTGTATTACTACACGGAAGGAAAGAAATGTGACAGAGCAGTCCACTACAGGGTGGACTTCTGGTATCACCTCAGTGATACCAGAAGAAGAAATGATACAACATGCCTTGTCAGCTTGTAGTTTAAGAGAAATCTGATGGCAGAGAATCAGCTCTCTGACAGCTTCTGCTCTCCTCAGTATCTGACCTTTGTATCCAAGTACATACATTTCAATTAAGGCTCAGTGTACTCCGCAAAACATTTGTAACTCATTTTTTTGAATACGGTAAAGTATACCTAGTCTAACTGAGGAGCCTTTTTCAGAAAATACTAGTCAGATTTTTCAGAGCATGAGCATTCAGACACTCAATCAAACAGTGATTTGCATGAAGTACACACATCCAATTGATAAAAATAAAATATTATACTGAATGTCATATTAACTTTCATCACTATCCCAGGAAACTTGAGTGTGTCAGAGACTTAACTTTCAGGGAATATTTTGGCTCAATAACCTTATATGCCTTAATCTTCCATTTCTAAGAGATTAATATAACCTTTAATAACTGTAAAAACAAATACTGTTCAGGAATAAATGTATAGCTACAGAAAATAATAATACCTTAAAAATCTAACCTACCATGGCAATAAAGCGCCCAATGAAACAGAAATATGAAAGATGGTCAGGATTGATTGTTGATGCTGGATTTATCTGCAGGCAATAGTTGCTCTTGCCAGCATATTCAAATAGGCAGTACATAGGGTTCAGTACTTCATGGGAAAGCAAGAAAAACCATTCTCTAAGGAAAAAAAAACATGTATACACATAAAAAACATCAAATACAGATGTTTATCACCATTCCTCTTAGGTAGCTAGCAAAATGGTCAAAATATATGCAAACTTAGAAAAATAATATAAACAGTGTTGTATTAGAATCACAGAATAATATATGGCATTATATACTTCTTAAATATAAAAAAAATTCATTATTAAAAACAATGTTAGAAAGTCATGGTTTCCAAAGTTTAGAAATTATTGTTAAGATTGTCACCTTGAACACACCCTCATCACATAGGTTTTAGCTGCATATTAGTAACATTTTTGCCTACAGAGTCCTTGCCTCAACCAGTACACAGTATTTGTTTTCCTTATGCCTGCTTTACTGCATAAAACTCAAATAAAAAAAAAAAATTACAGATTATTCCATGGGCAGTGCTTATTATAAACAACCCAGGTAAAACAAAACAAAACAAAAAAACCCAAACCACAGCCCACCTTATTTGCTTTCCAAATCTGACAGCAGAACACACAGAGTTACTGTGGTTTAACAAATTACCATGCATAAGTTAAGCCCACAGGACACAACAATGTGAAAATATGCTTTTGTTGAGGTTTAACTAATACATGTTATTCACCACTTTCATAGTTTCCAACTCAGCTGACCTGAAATAATAATAGAATCTGGTATTTCAGTGTTAGGATAGCTGATTTTTAGAATATTTGTTGCTCCATAGTATTTACATACAATCAGACACCTCAGAAGCAGTCATATATACTCAGGAGTTTTTGTATCACACCCCAAATGCTTGGAACTGAACAACCAGGCTTAGGGAAAAGCTGCAAAAAAAGCTAAAAGTCTATCCTATAACAACTGCAGGGACTGAATTCCATCCTCATTACCTTGTAGCCATCACATTGAAGAGGCATCTTTTCTATCCCTAGATTTACCTGAGAGCAGGGAATAGAAATGAGAGGTTTGCTGGCTTGTTTCTCCTAATAGTTCTCTGAAACTCAAGTCATGGGTCATGATTGCTACAACACGCTTCCAACTCAAAGCCCAAGTAGAAAGAGTAAACAGAGAAAGGCAGCCAGGATATGATAACCCTAATAGGGTTCTGTGTACCTTTTAATAAACATGAGAATGTTGTACAGCATTCTGTGCAAGCTTTATACTGAGACAATTATATTAGCTCTGCACAGAAGCATCAAATGTAATAGGCATTTAAATTAGATCAAAGCCAGATAACAAGGGAGGAATCAAAGACATCAGTCATCAACAAGAAGTTTGCAGAAGCAATGAATTTTTCACGTCAACTGCTAGAACTAGCCACAGGACACAGTGTCAGATTGGTCCTTCTGAACACAAGGTAAAATTCTGGAGGGAACATTGAGTTTAGCCTGCTGAGAGACAGGTGATAAATCAGGCGCATCAGCTTTCTAAATTTGTATTAATACAGTGTTACATTAGCAAGTCAGTACATGAACATTTACCCAGTGTCACTTGAGATTTCTCAGTTTAAGTTACAATGAGATCATTGCTGCTTCTCAATTTCACACACAAAATCTTGGGCAAGACCTATTCCTAAAACTACAAAGTTATATTACTTCTATATTTGTTATTTATTTATTTATTTATTCTGCCACTTCCTATCACTAATGCTCTTCAGCTAAATTATTCTAACATCACTTCTTTGGAATACTTTGTTTCTCTGGAACAGATTACTTCAATTCTCCTGGTTCCCCATCCTATGTGTAGGGCCATCAAGATAGGGACACTAACCAAACAAAACCCATGCAAAGCAAAAATTGGATTCTTCCCTGCAATCACCCCTGAAAAGCCTAGCAGGTATTGTAATTCAGAAGCATAACCACCCATATATCCAAAGAAGCTCAACCTTCAGAGGCAAGCTTCCTTACTTACAAATACTACACATTTCCAATGAACTTCATTTTAACACAGCAAGCTACATAAAACCAGAACAAAACCAAAATAGAATACCTTCACATTAAAAAAAAAAAAAAACCAAACCCAAGAAAAAATTCATCACCTATCACTTCAAACTCCCTGGATCTGCAGTAGTACTGATATTTTCATCCTAATAGTAACATTTCAGTCAAGTAACTGGCAGCAGTACTCAGTGGCTGTCTTTTATACGGTCAACAGATGAAATGCATTTTGTCTATGGTTTTCCTGTTATCAGATTTTCCCTCCAAGTTGCACTTCAGATTCTAGAATAACTTGTTGTCTAGCTGTTTTGTATTCCTGTGCAGCCTACATAGTCTGCTCGTCTGCCATTACTTCATGCCTGCACTACTCTCCTCTTATGTCCTTTCTGTTCTTATCAGCCCAAATCTGGTGTTCACTTGTTTCTTAACAAATAAGCAAAACACTTTATTTTTCCACAGTCCCCACTTCCAGGAAAGTGGAACTTTCTGATGGAAAGTTTCTGAAATAACTCAGTCTAAAGCAATTAAATGGCATTAAAAAATTCCAATTTAAACATCAATCGTTGTCAAAGAACTGAACAACTGAGACGACAGTTTTACCAATGCAAAGTTATAACCCCTAACAATAGCCAGTGCTGCCAGTTCCACTTCCTTAATACATTAAAGGGAGCTAAAAAGGTAACCAGGTCAGACTGCAAAACTAAGCAGTTTCTTTGCCAACAGAATGACATTAGAAATAAAGGTTAGAGTGCTATTAAAAATATAAAAACTATTTTAAACTGATTTTCTTTTACCTTGCCAAGCCACCATAATCCAATCCTTCTTCTCCTCTGAATATAACATACAATCTTCTCCTCAAATCATAGGGTTTTAATGCCATAATCTATTAAAAAAAACCCCAAAATTTAATAAGTTATAAATTACGCATTGTCAATAGAATCGCTCCTTCTTATTCGGATTTTATTTGATACAAAAATACCATATATGTCAAATGTTTACACAGATTTAACAAGAAATTAGACCATCTCATGGAACCTGCAATCAATGAACTGCACACAAAAATACCAACTCGGACTTCCGAGTCCTTGAGCAGCAGACTGCTAGCAAGTGGGAGGGCATATCTGGAAAGTATCACTACATGGTTGCCCTGTTCTCATACTCCTCCTAAGGCATTCAGTATCATTAAACGAGAACAGGCGAAAAGGCATTTCATCTGATATATGACAGATTTTTGGGTTTAGGCAAATCACTTAAAACCGTAACTTAATTCAAAATGAGAGTAATATAGTTTCATTAATAACATAGTTTTTACTTATAGAGAATCCCTCCCAAGAGGGTTCAATGTGGTGACAGCGGCAAGAATTTTCATTGTTACAGAGGAAGAAGGAAGGAACATACATTGGTTGCAGACTGTAAGAGCTCAAGAACTGTAAGCTTAAATTACGCAGATTTAATGTTTGAAGGACAAAGCAGGACACCAGTTTTAATTGGAGAAAATAACATTTTGTAATGTATATAACCACACACAAGAATGAGAGAAGCAAATCCGATGTGGTTAAGTTAATATGGTACACAAGGTGGTTAAGCTATGGAACTCTTTACCACAGGATGCTGTAGATGCTAAAAGTTCACAAGAGGAGCACAGACAAGCTCACAGAAGAGAAGTCCCTTGAGGATTATTAAATACCCAGAAACCACATCAAGCCTAAGAAGCATTTAAATTGTAAACAGCTGGGAGCTGAAAGATCATTTGGTAAAAGTATTATGTACATTACTTCTGTTCTTACAGTCTTCCCTAAGAATGCCCTCTGGTTAATACCAGAGGAAGATTACTGTGCCTGAAGGACCATTAGTCTGAACTGGCTACGGCCATTTTTTGTTCTTACGCTTTGTCTTGATAAACAAACACAACAATCTTTACAGGCTTACTTGCTGGAAGGAATCCTCAAATAAAGTCTGTCTGGATACATTGATTTTCACATGACTTGGCAATGCATTGGACTGTAATCATAAGGCAATAACGTTAAAAGGCAGCACATATAAATGTAAATTCAAATAGTTTCAAAAAGTAAGTAATTATTTATCAGTACCTGACACAGGTAACGGAAATGAGCCAGTTTCCACCTAAAGCTACGCTCATAAGCAATCTGTGGCCCTTTATTTCTGTAAGGAAATATATTTGAGATAGATTAACCACACAGACATCAAACAGCACTTTCAATGCTAAACAACAGCATGTAGATTTCAAAAATCGTTATCATAAGATATGATCAGAAACAAAATGCAATTGATGGTTTGGTCAGCTGGTCTTTCTTTCTGCCCCCGTCCCTGTTCCTTTTTATTTTTTTTTAAGATGCTAGTCAATTTACCAAATTTGAGAGAAAGGTAGAGATCTAGAGGATTTCAAATCCCTATCAATCTTGTAAAAATTGCAAGCCAACTAAAGGAGAGACATCTAATTTACTTTCTTCACTGAGAGAAAGACTGTTAAATCAGGCTTCATAAATTCAGACGTTTGTGGAACTATGAAGGAATTTCTAGTACAATACTCCATAGGCTCTTTGAATGAAAAGTCATCAACATATCATCAGAAGTAAACCCTATCCTACATAAAACACATTAAGACAGCCACCATAGGTTGAGTCAATACTTCTGATATTAAACTATTTTAAAAAAGATTTGCATGTAACATTTTTGAAAAGTATTTAGAACTGTTTTGTTTAGACATTAATGTTGCTTGCTAGAGGGTGTATAACTATAAGCAATACTCATTACAATCATTTGCCTTTTCTTTAAAAATGTAAATGTTAGTTACATTAGTTGAATATTCATGTTTGTCTCACTTCTCCTTTCTATTTATAAAACAATTACAAACATGCTATTTGAAAAGTGTTTAAAAACTACTGAACCTTAAAGAAGTGCAGCAAAGTGTGGAATAGATACACTGACAATTAAAGCTTAAAAATAGATTAAATTTATAGGTTCATAATTTAATGCTCAATTCCAGGTAAAAGTACATATGGTTTTCTAGTATGAGAAGACTTAATCATTAAACTATAATAAGTTAAAACATTAAAAAATACATTGAATTTCTCACTTACACAGAAGATTTCCCAGTACGAGGATCATTGAAGGTGGTGGTTCTTGTATTATGGTCAACAAAGTATCTGACACCTTCTCTGGTATATCTGATTTCCCAGCCCTCTGGAAGAGGGTCCTCGTTTTGTAAACTGCAGAAGAAATTACAGACAGTACTTTTTCCCCCATATCATGACATATAAGAATTAAGCAAGATCTTTTCATCTGCAAAGTCAATATACACACCTACCCTTGAGTTCGAGGGTCTTCCCACTGTGTTGTCTTTGTATTATGATTTACAAAATACACCCTATCATTTGAATCCACTCTCCTTTCTAGGGGGAAAAAAGAAAAAAAACCACTATACAACAACTGCATTCCAAATTTCTGTAACTGTCACTTCCTGAAATCAACAGCTAATTAACTTACCCCAACCTGGTGGTAGAGGACCAAGTGGATCATTTTCTGCTGACAACATCGAAGCCTATTTAAAAACAAGAGGACATTTGGTTAGGCCAAATATTATTCATATTTTTTCCTTAATGCATTTTAAGCTTACCACTAGTTCTGAAGACTATCCATTCTGAAAAAAACATCATGCCATTTTTAGGCTGGTTTTGTGAAGAAACATAGATTACATGGTAAGAAGATATGATTTGTGCCCTTGCCTCCACTGTTTTCAACCCAACACAACTTCCCTTTCCCTTCCTACAGCAAACTTGAGAGAGAGTCAGCGGTCTTAAAAATGTACAGTTCATAGAAGTTTTGCGGAAGCACATAGAAGCAGATAAGCACAATGTTCTTGCTTAAGAACATGCTTTACCATAATAAACATTTCCGAGCACAGTGATTACTGCCAGCATAGGGTTTTTTGCTTCCTCAATACATGATCTCTTCCCTGGATGTTTGGCTATTTTCAGATTTGTCATTCTTTGCAAATGCAGCTGCATTCATTAAAATACGCAGATGGTTAAAATTATACCAACATACAGTAAAGTTAAAAGGAAGGAAAAAAAAGTAAAAAAAAAAAAAAGATTTAATTATTATGTAAAAACATGCTAAACTTGTAACATACTGTAACCTTGCAGAAGTCCCCCAGTAGCTCCCAACAATACAAAGCATGGGAAAAATAAAATGTAAAAGGCAGAAATGCCCCAGACTGCAGGATCCATGCTCTGATTTATAACTGAAAGCATCCATCCCCTAGAATTTTCTGAACACTAAAATTCTTTCTTTTTTTTTCTTCGGTGCAGAATGCAATTTTGATATATGGGAACCAATCTACATTTTCCAGAGTATCTTACGGATCACCTTGCTGCAGCCGGTCATAAGCTATGGCCGGTCACAAGCAGTGTTCCCCAGGGCTTGGTCTTGGGGCCGGTCTTGTTTAATGTCTTTATCAATGATCTGGATGAGGGAATCAAGTGCACCCTCAGTAAGTTTGAGGATGACACTAAGTTGGGAGGGAGTTTTGATCTGCTTGAGGGTAGGAAGGCTCTGCAGAGGGATCTGGACAGGCTGGATCGATGGACTGAGGCCAACTGTATGAGGTTTAACAAGGCCAAGTGCCAGGTCCTACACTTCGGCAATGCTACAGGCTTGGGGAAGAGTGACTGGAAAGCTGCCTGGAGGAAAAAGACCTGGGGGTGTTGGTTGACAGCCAGCTGAACATGAGCCGGCAGTGTGCCCAGGTGGCCAAGAAGGCCAACAGCATCCAGGCTTGTATCAGAAACAGTGTGGCCAGCAGGACTAGGGAAGTGATCATCCCCCTGTACTCAGCACTGGTGAGGCCGCACCTCGAGTGCTGTGTTCAGTTTCGGGCCCCTCACTACAAGAAAGACATTGAGATGCTGGAGCATGTCCAGAGAAGGGCAACAAAGCTGGTGAAGGGTCTGGAACAGATGTCTTACGAGCAGCGGCTGAGGAAACTGGGGTTGTTTAGTCTAGAGAAAAAGGAGGCTGAGGGGAGACCTTATTGCTCTCTACAACTACCTGAAAGGAGGTTGTGGTGAGGTGGGTGTTGGTCTCCCAAGCAACAAGTGATAGGACAAGAGGAAACAGCCTCAAATTGCTCCAAGGGAGGTTTAGTTTGGATACTAGAAAAAATTTCTTCACTGAAAGGGTGGTCAGACACTGGAACAGGCTCCCCAGAGAGGTGGTGGAATCACTGTCCCTGGAGGTGTTCAAAAAGCTTGTAGACGTGCCACTTCGGGACATGGTTTAGTAGACATGGTGGTGTTGGGTCAACGGTTGGACTTGATGATCCTAGAAGTCTTTTCCAACCTTAAAGATTCTATGATTCTATAACACTGCTTTATATAGCATTTGCAATCCAAAAAAAGTCAAATCCACTTAAGAGCTTACAACAGCAAATTCAGGCAACAAAAGCTACAATATTTTTCCTCTGAAACAGAAACAGAGCAAGGATCAGAAGAAAATGCAATAGTTACACTCAAAATCAAGCTGCCTCTTTGTTCTAGCCACCAGCTACTAGACGTGAACAGAGAATCATCATTATCTCAGCAGCAAATGCAGTTAGCCTATTCTGCTTTTGGAAACTATACAGTCACAATGACCCTGTGACCAAAGACTTTTCTCTTGGTGAAGTATAAAAAGAATAGCACACAACAGAAAATGCTGTCTGACAAAGAACTAAATGGTGGCATAATTCAGAGATCTCCAATCTTCTTAATGGGTCCAAGGATTTGGATGTGGCTCTTGGCTAATGTATATTTAACAGAACACACTGAAACACTAGACTATGGTGTGGGATAAACCAGATACAATACCAAGAGGAGTACAATGTATTAATCCAGGTAAAAATAACAGTAACTAAAATAACTATATCCTATCCAAGTTTCTTCCTTCACATAATTTAGCTTTGACCATTGAAGGTAACCGAAACATTCTCTTATTCATTAAAAGTATTAATTCACTTTTTCCCAAAAAAATAAATAATTATCTCCCTTATAAACTACTATATAGGCAGAGTCCTGGTATATCACCAGAGGAAGAAAAGTAACTTGTAGATTGACCTTAACAATTCTAGAAAAAAAGTGTACAGCAGCACTAAAGTTAAAAAAAAAAAAAGGCATTCACACTTTTTCAACATAATTTCCTTCCCCCCCCCAACAAAATGTGAGCTCTAGGTATGCAACTGATACACTGTTTAGAAAAGAGAATTCTAACAAATCCTAATTTAATGATTCTAAGGTCAGATGGGACATTTTAAGAAATAGGCCCTTAGTTTTCAGTAAGAGTCATCATTAAATGAAGAAAGGAATACAATTTAATTTTAAAACTATATTGTTCCCTGAGAGAATAAATCTAGCTCAAAACAAAATAAATCTTAGGATTAGGAAAAGTGAGAGTTTTCTTAGATGTTTAAGCAACTGATCTAAGTAGTACACAAGTACAGAAAGTTGCTCAGTGAGAGTTCTTGGCTTGATATGTTTCAGCTGTGATTCTTGGATTTGCATTAAAAGTTACGAATGTGTATAAATACCTGAGGGGAGGGTGCAAAGAAGGATGGAGCCAGGTTCTTTCCAGTGGTGCCCAGTGACAGGACCAGAGGCAATGGGCACAAAATGAAACACAGGAGGTTCCCTCTGAACATCAGGAAACACTTTTTCACTGTGAGGGTGACCGAGCATTGGCACGGGTTGCCCTGAGAGGCTGTGGAGTCTCTATCCTCGGAGGTATTTAAAGATGTCTGGACGTGGTCCAGGGCAACTGTCTCTAGGTGGCCCTGCTTGAGCAGGGGGGTTGGACCAGATGACCTCCAGAGGTCCCTTCCAGCCTCAACTATTCTATCTTTCTCTAATTGTATAAGATAAATTGACAGATGCACAGCTCCAGGAGTTAAGAAAATGAGTGGTGATGCATGTTTCTGCTATTGCTAGTGATGAGATATAATGTCTAATCAGATAGGCTGAGAATTATTAAATGTAAGAGTACTGCAACATCCTTTACTTCAGAGGGGTACCTGAATAAAGTCCAACAAATTCAAAGCAAAGTTAGGTCTGCGGATGCATACAGTCCTAGTCTGATGAAGCTGTTTCAGACTTGTACTTCAATATTTTCTTCTTTAAAACACTCCAGCGTTGCTACATATCACTTATGAAGTCTCTGGGATTGGATCTTTTTTTAAAAGACCAAGCACAATTCTTAAAATGGAATGTTTAGAGTGACAGTGACATGCAGGCACCATCATTCTCAACTCTGAAAAAACAACTATTCTATTTATCCAGTCACAGGCAGAAAAATCTGTCTCAAGAAATATCTTTTTTGAAGCTACTCATGATATTTTCTTCAGGCAGGTGCATAAGCCTAAAAATGAGCTCAAAGTAAAAGAACTGCCATCTGTACTAATGACTTCTACTAACTGAAAAAGTTTTGAAGGCCATTTAATCTTCAAAACGCCCGTAACTCAGCTTTTATGTTCATTTTCAGTTAAGGGTCTGCTTTAGTTTTACTTCTTACTAATGTCATTAAAAGTCTCAAGTATCAAGCAGTACGCAAGGCTCACATTAGGGAACAGGCTCGGAAAAGGGAGTACTTTTTGCCTTTAAGGACAATTTTTGTTAACATTTTTCAACAGAATCAGAATCTGAATTACTGATGCCAAACGTCTCATAACACATATGGTTGAAAAATCACTTTAGATTTTTAACTTTTAGAAAAAGTTAAAGAACAAAAGGTATACCTATACCTCTCTACTCATTTCTATATTTTATGTAAATTTTACCGAATAGAGGTATCGTTGGTTAAATTGTTGCATAGCTCCCTGCAGTTGATTCCGTTGAGATTGCCATTGCTCAAAGTTCCTGACTGATTCCATTGTTGGTCGCTGCCACGTTGTTGTTCTGGTGTTGTGGTCCACATAGTAAACTCTCCCACGATCATCAACTCTTCTTTCCCAGCTTTCAAGAAACACAAATGTTAACAGCTAAATTTTTCAGTCATATTACATAACTAATTTTCTCTTTATGCTCAATTCCTAGACAGTACCTGAATGAAGTACTGGAGTCACAGGCATGATTTTAATTTCCAAAGCAGACAAAAGTACTCCCCAACTTTATTAGAAGGACAACCACATTGAGCCAACATAGACTTCAAGCGATAGCACGCTCAGCTCTCTGTCCCCTCTCTTTTAACTTTGTAAATTCCTGTGACCATAAGCAATGTCGGCAGGTTTCACAGAAAACACTTTGCCTAGAAATCTGAGGTTTGGAACCAGTCCACCACACCTAGTGGTGTCACCTAAATAAAGATGGTCAAATATGCATTATCTAATGCTGTGCTGGTTTTGGCTGGGATAGAGTTAATTTTCTTCATAGTAGCTAGTGTTTTGATGGAGCTACGGTTTGGATTTGTGCTGAAAACAGTGTTGATAACACAGGGATGTTTTCGTTACTGCTGAGCAGTGCTTACACAAAGCCAAGGCCTTTTCTGCTTCTCACACCACCCCACTGGTGAGTAGGCTGGGGGTGCACAAGAAGTTGGGAGGGGACACAGCTGGGACAGCTGATCTCAATTGACCAACGGGATATTCGTCATATATATGATGTCATGCTCAGCATATAAGGGGCCGGGGAAGAAGAAGGAACGGGGAGGGAGTTCAAAGCAATGGTGTTTGTCTTCCCAAGTTACCATTACACGTGATGGAGCCCTGCTTTCCTGGAGATGGCTGAACACCTGCCTGCCCATGGGAAGTGGGTCAATTAATTCCTTGTTTTGCTTTGTGTGTGCAGCTTTTGCTTTACCTATTAAACTGTCTTTATCTTGACCCATGAGGTTTCTCACTTTTACTCTTCTGATTCTCCCCCCATCCCCTTGGGGCAGGGCCGGGGCGGGGGAGTGAGCAAGCAGCTGTGTGGTGCTTAGCTGCTGGCTGGGGTAAAACCACAAGAAATGCTTAAGTTTTAAAGGAAGAACAAAGTAATTTAATAACCGTATTTGAACAAGTGATCAGAACAAGCAACATACACAGTACCAACATTCCTGTAACAATAGCTGTAATTAATATAATTCTAAATTGAATGAAAGCTAGAATTTCTTAATATGTGATGTATGATACAGTTTTCATGAGCTACTTCTTAAAGTTGGTACTTTTTTCCTACACCAAATAATCAAACAAAAAATAATACCTTTATCATATTTAAATCAAAAAAGTCTACATTACCCAGGAGGTAAGGGCTGTGGTCTTTCCCATGTTGTAGTTCGTGTGTTGTGATCAACATAATAGGTTCTACCATGAGGATCCTTTCTTTGCTCCCACCTTCAAGACAAAAAGACTTTCATGTAAATCAAGGTGAAAATGCTTCCTTAGGATTTATTTCCCCACTAAGCCAAAAAAATACCTTGGTACTGAATGAAAATACTATAATCCAAACCTCATTCTAAAACACCAAAGAGAACTCACACTAGAATACGTATCAGTTACTTCCTATTTGAAATGGCATCAGCATAAAGACTTCTTTAAGGGACTTGGTACACAACATGAGCATACGTCATACACGAAGCTGATCGGAGGGCTGGAGCACCTCTGCTATGAGGACAGGCTGAGAGAGTTGGGATTGTTCAGCCTGGAGAAGAGAAGGCTCCAGGGAGATCTAATTGCAGCTTACTAGTACCTGAAGGGGCCTACAGGAAAGATGGTGAGGGACTGTTTATCAGGGAGTGTAGTGACAGGACAAGGGGTAATGGGTTCAAGCTGAAGGAGGGTCGATCTAGATTAGATGTTAGAAAGAAATTCTTTACTGTGAGGGTGGTGAGGTACTGGAACAGGTTGCCCAGAGAGGTTGTGGATGCCCCATCCCTGGAAGTATTTAAGACCAGGTTGAATGGGACTTTGGGCAACATGGTCTAGTGGAGGGTGTCCCTGCCTGCAGCAGGGGGGTTGGAACTAGATGATCTTTGAGGTCCCTTTTAGCCCAAACCATTCTATGATTCTAATATCCACAAACATTTTCAAATTCTATTTAAGATATCTGAAAACAAAGTCAATTAATTATCTGCTCAAGGCTTGGCTGCTAAAATAACCTCATTCAAAAAGTGTTGAGAGATGCATTCTTTGCATTTCCAAGTACATGTCTCTCTCTCTCAAAAAAAAAAAAGAGGTAGTTTGCATTTTGAAGCACTGTTCCCTATATCCCACAAACAGGATCTTCCAGAGTGAACCTGAAGTGTGTGCTGTAAGATGGTTTTCCTGTGTTTCTACTTCCTATCCTGATAAATTCTCTATCCAATATCCCTGGGGATTATTTCTTCAGTTTTAGTTGCAAAGCAAATTTACATTGAAGATGGGAGAGAGGACCAAACATTATAAACAACTGAACTTTCATGCTGCTGAGAACTGCCATAATGCAATAAAAATAATTATAAATGGGAGAGGAAACCAGGATAAATGTTAGAAGAAAAGCTGAAGCCCTTGCTTGCATTAGATACGTTTGGTTTTCTTATATACATAACTAATTAGCTCCTAAAAACACAGACAGAACACCTTGCCTGCTACTCATAGGATTTGATGTGCATTTCCTCACTATTAGAGAGCATCCTATAAAACTCCTACAAAATGTTTTCTGCAGTTCAAGAGGTTAAATGCAATGATTACAAGGAGGTAAGACAGGAGCAGCAGCATGTTACAGAGTTACCAGGGCTAAACATAATGGCTACTCAACTAGACTTGGGGGGGAACCCAAAAAAAAATCTCTACAAAAATGTGATCAGGGAAGAATGGTGAAGAAAAGCATTTGGCCATAGCATGCACTATACTGGAACTGATGACCCTGTACTCAATGGGAAAGCATGTAATTAATTTAAAAAAAAAGAAATGTGGCAGGGGGGTGACCACAGGAATTCCCACCTATAAAGTGCTTCCATTGTCAAGACATCTAGAAAATAAAAACTTTGCAACTCT